AGTTTAAAGCAAGACAAGTATGCATTTTTAATAAAAAAATGTTATAAAGCTTGCCCTTTAAACATGCCTGAATTAACTAAGTTCATCATCATAATATATAGAGCAAACCTATCCGGTGCATAGTTCAGTTTTTCAAAACACAAAAATGTGAATGCAAAAAAAAAATATTCTGGGGCTTGGGAAAAATTCTTTTAGGTATTTAAAGTGTGAAGCACTTGACATCTAATCGCAAGTACGCAGGAAGAAATCTAAAGTGCAGAATAAAAGTCACATTTTCACAGGTTCTCAAAATAGCAAAATATTATTCATTCACATCTCAGATTTTTTTCTTTTTGCAATAAAGACAACAAGCAGGCTTTTAATTCTGAGAACCATAATTTATAAGTTTTCCTTGATAATGCACAAATATTTATAAGACATGGACCGATTCTAATTATTAAACAGAATCTCAACCTCAGTACTAGAAATTACCTTTTCACACTATGAAGTTCATTTAATTCTGTCTTTTCCTTCCTCATGATGTCCCCTTCCCCCCACCCCATAGCAACAACTAACCCCTCCATCCAAAATGTATATGAACAAGAACAGTTCTTTTGAGAATTTGAAGTTACAATTAAGATACTTAGATATAGATTGTGTTAGATAATCAACAAAACAAACAAGCAAGCGAAATAGAACCAGACACATGGACATGAAGAACAAACCGACAGTGACCAGAGGGGAGGATGGAGGGGGATAACGGGAAAGAAGGGGAAGGGTCAAATCAAGAAACACATATAGAGGACCCATGGACAAAGCCAACGGCGGGTGGGTATTACATGTGAGAGGGGAGGGGAGGGGCAGAGGAGAATAATGGGATAAAAATGGGGACAACTGTAATTGAACAACAGTAAAAAAATTAAAAATAAATAAACAAAGGCATTTTCATGCTCACTAAAAAAAAAAGACTAATGACTCCAATCATATGATTCTAACAATTAGTAAACACAGCAATGACAAACTGTCAAAGCAACAAAACAAATATCTTAGAAGCAGGTCTATTGTTAATAGGGACATGACATTTTTATAGTCTCTGAAGGGTACCGTATACTTTGTTGAGTCACTCGGAAGTAACCTGGCTATTTTAGCCATACCAATAAATCTGTTCACATTAGGTAATTATAGGGTAGGAACAAAAAAGCAAGAAGATATTAAAGAATATGAAATATTATGCATGCATCATGAACTTAATTTAGAATTCTTTGTGTTTCATAAAAAATACGAAGGTCAGAAAAGTGGAGGTGGAAGAACTGAAAGAACTTCAAGTTGAAAAAAGACATGAACTGCAATTATCTTCATATGCCCTATTTAGAAAACCATCTTGAAGCCATCTTTTGGTGTTAAAAAAAAAGAAGGTATTTGTTGACTACATTTTTAATCTTTCCATTAATTAGTTATGCTTCAGAGCTTATTCATTAAACACCTTAGGGTTTTGACACACTAAAGAATTATGTACCTCCCAAGAGACTGTTTAGAGGCAAGGATCCAAAAGGATAAAACTGCACCTGTTTTTTAAATTCAAAGATCTTAATTAACTTTAAAATGACCTCCCTTCTATGCCTTTCAACTGGCAAATGAATCGGTATTAAGAGAGGGCAAAACCTGCTTATTTCTCCTATCAGATCAATGTAGATAAAATGTCATTTTTCCAATGTACTCAGATATGAGAGATACTATTTCTGTTTAACCCTTACAAGGCAAAAAAATCATTAAAGGTGAACAAGGACATATTTCAATGTTCAAAGCCACAATTCACAATGAAGATAAAATGGTTATAAATATCTGTGCACTAAATCACATGGCAACAACCACTATAAAGCACAAACTAAAGGAGGTGCGAGGAGACATAGATAAAGCACATTAATAATAAGACACTTTAACATGCCACTCTCTATTGAAAGATAGATCAAGAAGAGGAAAAAACAAGAAAAGGATAGAAGACCTAACTTAAGGTAGAAAACCTGAAGATATATATCAAATTGTGCACCCCTATAATTTTTGAAACTTTTCACTAAGTTTGTAATTATTCCAAAAGTAAACTACTACCAAAAAATTGTAAGCAGGAAGAGAAAAAAGAGGGGAGGGGAAGGGAGTGGGAGGAAGGAGAAGAACCAAAGGAATGACTGGACAGAGGAGCTAGAAAGGAATGGATATTCATCAAAAAGTCAGGAGTAAATATTTTCCTCTCCCTTTCTTAAAATATTAAGCAATCTTGAGTGTTAAAGAAACCATTCACCTAATTTTCATCATAAAATAAAGTATTTCTGATTTAGAAAAGTCTGAAAACATTCATTCCCAATGGAATCCACACGGAGAAGTCACAAAATGGAGCCAGTGTGATGACCTGCTGGCTCGGTTAGGGAGGGCCCTCCTAGCAGGTTCCAAGCCCTTCAAGCAAAGCACAGGCAGCAGCGGGCACCCAGCTTCAGCTGCCTGGAAGACAAAACCTGCAAATGGTGTGAACACAGCATGTGTCTGGGCCATGGCAGGTGTGCTCTCTGGGGCATGATGTGCAGTCATCTCTCTCTTGCAGCTTCATGCCGGTCTGCTGCACAAAGTCACCAGAGCCCACAATCCTGTATACAATCCCCTCAGATTGCCTCTACTCTAAACCCATACTGGAGGAAAGCCCAATACCAGGATGAGTTCCCTACATTTGTTTCTGCATCTGTCTCCTAGATTATCCAAATCACAGACTGGTGAAGTGCAGGGACTTTCCTGGGTCCCACTGCACAGATGCAACGCCACCAGCCCACCTGCACCTCTGCCAGCATGGTGCTGCCCCCACCAGTCCTGCTTACTTCTGTCTTGGAGAGATCACTTCCAGGACAAAACATTTTTAAAAAAAAATGAAAATCTTCTGACTGCTTTTTGGTGGAACTAATATTTGTTAGATGCCCATGGAAAAAACAAACAAAAGGTTGCCAGAGAGGTAGGTGTACAAATAACTTGACTCATTAAGCCCAGAGATGAAAAGTCTCTGAATCCCAAGATTTTTGAGGGGATAGATAAAAAAGCACACACTCAAGGAAATAAAATGTGACAGATATGTGATGAGATTGGTCCAATACCCAGAGGCCCTGTGTTCATTTTTCCTGTGTCACTGAGCAAAACCAGCTACCATTTTATTTTAAAAGAAAAAGAAAATGCATTTTGTCTCTCTCACTGAGCAAATGATTGCAGCTCAGCAGACCCAGACTGCACTCAGGGCTTTCTCCATTTTTTTTTTAAGAAAAGAAGTTACTAAGGTAAAACCATGACAAAGAATATGGGGCAAAGCAAATGGCAATGAGTACACAGCTAAGGTAATTTATCACAACAGTCCTCACATCACTGTAATATATTTGATATCTGTTTGCCCAACCGCCATCGACACAAATGTGCAGGAAAAGAAGATACACCTGTTTGGGGTTTGTGTTTGATCCTCTTTTTTAAGTAAACAAGAATGGTTGTATTGTGTATACACTACAAAGGATTGTTCTAACAAAATGTACACCTTGTATGAAAGATTATACATAGCCCCTTTATACTCCAGGAAACGAAGCAGAGCAAGCACTAAGTGGCATTAAACACACCCCAGTGCTGACTCTAAAATGCTGTGTGAATTTTTCTCACAAAAAAATAAAAATAGGTACTAATTGAAATTTAATGGTAACTGTAATATTATTTCTAAACAGATGAAAAAAGGAGGTTTACCAACAACAGTGTTCAGTCATTTGAGACCCTGGACCATTTTCTCCAGCTCATACCAATTTTACAGAACCCGTTCTCCTGTGAGGGGGTCATTGTTTCTGGGTTCTCCATTCTGTCTTTGCCAGGCAATTATGCTTTTTGAAACCATTTCTCCATTTCTTGTGCTGAAGTTTGCTTTTGCAGTTGCTAAAACACATCAGCCAATCTTGTACTTACGAGAGTAAGTGGCATTCAAGCTATGCTAGGTTGACCTCGGAAGCTAAAAAATCCAATAGTTTAAAATTGAGCTCATTTTTCATGAGACACAAGCCAGGAAAATGTGATCAAAAAAGAGTTGACAACCTGCAATTCTAACTTATTTTACTTGAGGAAAAAAACATGGTTGATTCTCCTCTGACCTCATTATTGCTTCCTTTTATATCTATGTGAACTTCAGGAACCTGCTGCTGATATTTGAGCAAAAATAATCTAAAATATCATTTAGCATTTGTTATAACAATATATATATATATTTACACTGTCCCCAAACATGAATTTTTTTTAAATTGTCATTTATATGCATTGTCACTGCCTTTTTTGCTAGTACAACTAACTAGCAGGTCTCTGAATTATAGAATAAATTTATTAACCAAATAATTTTCCTGGTTGTGAGTGGACAGAACCAGCTTTAAAAGCCTAAATTTACTTACATTGTGATTACTCCATTATAATAATGGGCAGGATTCATTTATCTCCTCATCACTTTGAGCTCACCACTTAGGTCCACTGAGATTCGGTATAAAGATTTAGAGTAAATGATCTGAACTCAAGCTCTGACTCATTTACTAACTAGCCAGGCAAGTCACTAAATTTGGGGGGCCTCCCTTTGCTGAGCTTTAAGAGAAAGTGTTGAATTAGACAGCTTCTATTGCCCCTCTAAAAGTAACATCCTGGATTACCAATCTGGCAGTTATTCCCCAAGCCATTTTCACACTCGTCAACATGGAGGCACAGCCAGTTAAGGCTATGACCAGCTCTCGTCTAAAAGGTACTATCCTGTTGTTGCCGAAGAAAGTTTCATCAAACCCTCATGCAGCCCGTTGAGCTGTGACAGATACTAATGTTCCTTGCTGAAGTAGCATTACTAGTTTTCATTGAGATTCATCATCTCATTAGTGACCCGATTTCTGAAGTCAGCAAGCAAAGGAAATTTCTCTTAAGAAACCCGAGAAGTGAAAATCTCTAAAACTGTTACGCATTTGCTACTACATTAGGAAAGTTCACAGTACCTAAAATAGCCACCACCTCATCATCCTGGATGACTTCCAAGGATCCTGACACCACAAAGCAGAGGGCATCCACACTTTCTCCAGCATGGTAAATGAGGTCCCCAGGAGCACAGTGAATAGTTTGGAATTCTACCGCCAAGGCGCGCAGGCACCCATCACTGGCCAATCGAAAAGCAGGATGTTCATTAAAAACCTTCCGGTTGAGATGAACACAGATATCAGCTCTCATGTCCTTGGGGCAGATAGACAGAACCTGAGGAAAGTGAAAGATAAATAAGTGAGAAGAAAAGAGAAAGTTATTTCAGAAAAAGTGCAATAAATATTTATTGACTATGACAAAGTCTGCAACACACTGTACCAGATACTCAGAAGGAAAAGTTGTAAGACACAGCTCTACTCTCAAAGACCAAGTGATCCAATGAGATGGGCTGATGAGCATATGGACTATCACAATACAGTACCACATAGTGAGGCTTTGAGAGGGGTGTGGATCTCTCCATAGAGCAGTCTCGAGGCGGTCAGGCAGAGTCTCAGAAAAACACATAATGTAACTACACCCAAGAGCCAACTAAAATAGGGCATTAACATTCATTTTCGTATGGTTTCTGTTTTAGAATGTTTTATAAGTAAATGAAAATTCAGGGTAATGTTCTTTATTCCACATTGAAGCTGGATTTATAGAAACCAGTTATAAGAAAACACAATCAACAAAAGCACCTTTGCAACTTCACATGCTGTCACTGGCTGATGTAACTCCACTTTATATGTGTTTTTTCCCACTCTGAATTTTTTTTAATTTTACAAATGCATTTATGTCCAGAAAGTGAAAAGCATATTCGCTAGCCGTCTGTAGGGCTCAGGGAACTGCAAATGTCAATGCCAGCAAAGTGGGCACATCATTTTGCTGGCAGCCTTGCATTCTGGTTTCTGACTCTTAAAGACTGCTGAGGGCAACAGCAGAATCCAAGCTCTAGGCTTCCTTTAGAAGAGCCAGGGTTAGAGAGCTTTTATTGCCAATAGCTTTCAGACAGGGCAATTAAAGACCCAGATTAAAATGGACATTATTATCATATTTAATCAGATCATCATCAAGCAAGATGTGATTACAGAAGTCAGTATCACCCACTTTAAAGATGCATGTGCAAACTCACTTAGAATCTTCTCCCAATCCTCTTGGTACACTATTTCTTATAATCAGAAATGACTTTCTTTGCTAGGCTTTAAATCCCTCAAGCTGGAGTCTAAGTTATACTGAATAATGTTTTAATATAAAATAATTTTCTTTTTTACACTAATTTCATATTAACCTTTAAAAATTACCTAAAGCTTAAAATAAAATAAATAAATCCCCTGATTGTTCTTTTTTAAAAAGATTTTATTTATTTTGATAAACAGAAGAGAAGGGAGGGAGAAAAAGGAAACATTAATGTGTGGTTGCGTCTTGTGCGCCCCCTACTGGGGACCTGGCCCACAACCTAGGCATGTGTCCTGACTAGGAATCAAACCAGTGCCCCTTCGGTTCGAAGGCCTGCACTCAATTCACAGAGATACACCAGGCAGGGCCTGATTATTCTTTTTATTTGGAGCTCACTATCAATGAAAAGTTGGTTACTTCCCTGTGTAAAAGACAAGCCTATCATAAATGTAAAGACCATTAATTAAATTATGCTTTCCATACCCCTTTCTTTAACCCCTCTTAAAGCTTACATATATCAGTTCACATACTGCATTTTTGGACCATAAGATGCACCTAGGTTTTAGAGGAGGAAAATGGGGAAAAATTTGAAGCAAAAAATGTGGTAAAATATTTAATAACATAAATAACATAATATTTCACCAATGTAAATGTAAATAGAACTCAACAGCAGCATTAACAACCATTATTCCTCCCAAATTGCTGGGGGGGTGTATCTTATAGTCCAAAAAATACAGTACTTAGTATCTCGGGGGGGGGGGGGCATTTATACTCCTTTGAATTCCTATAGGCAATAGCAATCAGCTCAACTAGCTTTCTAAAAAATCTCATCTTGGAGGAATAGAATACCTAACAAGAGCTTCAGGAGCAATTGACACTTTCTTACCTCATCAGTTGTTTTCCATAATAATGTAATGTTTTCTTTAATATATTAACTTTTAGTGACCTCTGACAACTTAGTCATTCAGTAGGCTCTTACTGAGTTTTTACTCTGGGGCATGCCACTGCATTAAGCCCCATGGAACTAGAAGGAGAAACAAGACACTGTATTTGCCTTGGAGAAGCTAACCATGCAGTAGGGAGAGGTATGCATGTAAAGAGACAATTATAATACAATGAGAAAAATGACAGGGCATGGCCAGGTGCCATGGGGCATGTGCTGCTTAGAAGTCATTACTTATGACTTAGGGCACCCTTAGATTAGGCTCAAAAGGACATAAGTCTGGGTGCAAATCTATCAGTTACTACCTCCATAACCTAAGGTATACAAAATCTATCAGTACTTTTATAACTCATGTTATTTAATCTCCCTAAACATCTGTGAAATGGGTTGATAGTGGTTATTTCATAGGCTCATTACAGAAATTAAATGAGAGTTTAGCCCAGTTTAGCCTTGCACATGACAAGAGCTAAAGAAATGTTGTTTTTTATCATACTCATTGCAAATGAGTGTTCCTACAGAGTTTATTGTCACTTTAGCTCCCTACAAAAGCAATTTGCTATTTTTCATTTTCCATCCCTGTCTAAATTCTGTATTGTGGCTGTCTGATGAGATTCCAGGCACAATTAAGGATGTATTTCAGCATGAACCTAGAGATATCTCAAGCTAAAAATAAAATTAATGCTAGGAAAGCAAAAAAAAATAATTTAAAAATGCACACACATTAACATTACACTGAATAGCTTAATGGAAAAAATTGATTATTCTATTTCTATCCCATTTACCTTAAAGGATTTTCATTGTTTTAGATTCATTTTGGTAATAGCCATTTTATGTCTTTTTAATTATTTCTTTCAGGATTCAAGCTGCAAATGAAATCTTCCAATGTTAGCAACATCCTGTGTTTAGTAGCATATCAAAAGAGGATTTTTATTATTTTAAGTGCATCTTTCCTTTTTTGTTTTACTTCACTTATGACAGATTTATTCCTTTGATTGATGTAATAGACCAAAGTGCGGATGTCATTAACTGACAAGTTAAAACTTAGTGTTAAAATAGACCAAAGCCACACCCAGCTCTTTCCCCATCCCTAGACAGGGCATATGCCTTCCGAGGTATATCTGTCATTCAAATATGAGTATAGTATTATTTTTTTCTGTAAATGAAGGTACTAACAAATGTCTTAGGTAGTCAAAATTTAGTTTTAAGTGATAAAATAAAATTATAATTCAAGATATGCTAAGCCCTGGTCCATTAATCCTAATTTCAATGTACTCTGCCTTGAATGTCATATCCAGTCTCTTGTCAGTTCCCTAATAGGGATCTCATAGTCATAAACAAATGAAATTACATTCCAATAGAAAATATTCAAGTTCTACTGACTTGTTTGTCTTCAGGTTGATTATTTATGCCCTCTTTATACCAGGATATGTATAAAATTAGATTCTTAATTGAGACAATAAATTTCCTCTTTGGAAGAGCTATGGTTGCATATAAGGAATCATTTTAGAATTCTGTAAACAAACCCTGAAAAAAATAATGCCATGGTCTGGAAAAGAAAACTCTTTTGAAATTATTTATGATACCAGTTCCAGATTAAGAGGTATCTTAACAGACATCCCACTGGCTCCAAATATCTAACCTCAACATTGCAACTAAAGAACACTTAGTACAACACATACAATCATGTTATCTCACTTTGTTAAAATATCCAATGGCTTGCTTCTCCAAGTAAAGCCAAAGTCCTAACCAAGCACACAAAGCTCTTTATGGTGGGACCCTCCTTCAGACACATCCCTTACTGCCTTGCTCCAACCCTGCATTCAGTCATGTGATACTTGTCATCTCTCTCTCTCTCCTGCCATACTCTCTCATGACTATGCCTTTGTACATGCTGTTCTTCCGACTGGCATGCCCCATCATCCCCTTCTCTGCCCAGTCAACTTGGATCTATCCACCAAGCACAGACCATCCTCTCTCTGCCATAAATTCAATGCACACACAGCTCTCTCATAGAACTGGGTAGTGTACAGAAAGAGAAAATGAGAATAAGAAGTGTTGTGATCTATATTGTTTTAAAAATTATAACAGCACACTATGGTAACATTAAACTATCACAGAGTTCAAAGGACTTTAACTTATTAATTTCAAATTTTTATTTTCAACAGTAAAGTTATTCTTTGATTTTTAATGAAGTACCACCTTATGCCCAATGTAAAGCTGATACAAGAAGAATTATGTTAGGTGAAGTTCTGATGGGAAGGCAGACTCCAAGGCAGGGCTTCACAGGGGCATTTTCAGTCATTCATTTAACTCACAGCTATTGAGTGCTAGGTATGTGTTAGTTACATGCTGGCTACTACACAGGCCATCCAGATCCACAAGCAAAAACTCTCTCAGCGCCTGCCTCCCTGGAGCTTCCAGTCGGGGATAGCTTGAAAAACCTCTGTTCCTCGTCCAGTGTCCTATTTTACAGATAAGGCAACTGTATAGCATCAGGGTTATGTGGTTTCCTCAAGGCCTCTCAATAAAGTACTAGTAAAACCTAAAACTCTTGACTTACAACTCTTAAGCCATGCTCCTCAATGAAGCTACCCAGGAATGCAATACAGCATCTGGCACTTTCTGATGTTTTCTGGTTCAGAAAACATCATAGTACAAAAATATAAATGCTGCATAGTACAAAAATATAAATGCTGATTTCTGAAAAATCATTGAGTCCAACTAATCAAATCATAGTTTATTTATTAGGAAATCACTGTAACCACCACCATCACCACAGAACCGATTCATTAATAAATTATTTAACCTATTACTATTTGCCAAAAGTCAGTCATCTTATCTGAAATATAAGTTTTAGTATATTTATGGTATAAATATGGTATAATTATGGTATAGTATAAAAGGACCTAAGCTAGATACTGACATAGAAAGAACATTTCACAAATGTCAGTCTCCTGAGTTCCCCTCCTCCATCACTTTCATCCATTATGGTATCAGTGATTTAGAAAAAAACTTAGAAGAGTGAGCCTAAATATTTTAATTAGAGGCCAATGAGTTGAATCAAGATTCTCTGAGGAAATGTTTGACTGGAGAGAGTTAAAAGAAGGCAGCTGTA